GGGCCCCGGGGATGGCAGGCCGTCGCCTCGGTCCTCCGCCCTCGATTGAGGGGGAGGAGGGGAGGGGGGGGGAGGGGAGCAGACGACACGCACTTTCGGACTCCTTCAGCGGAACACGGCTATTCATTTGGAGCACGCTGCATGTGACGAGATGGCTTGTGAGTGAGCACAGGGCACAAGGCCGGCCTGGAGGCCACAGCGACGACAGCAGGGCACATCTGCCCGACGTACCGCAACACTGCCCCGCAGCTCCGGCAGTGGTCCTGCACCACGAAGAGCAGCTGCCCGATGGAGTTGAAGAGGCCGCGCATGCGCCGGAAGGCCGAGTCGCACACGCCCTTCACAAAGAGCTCATGCCGGGCATCGTCCTCCTCCGGGCCGCGCAGCTCGTAGTACGCGTCTCTCACCTGCTCCACCGGCAGGTTGAGGGACGCGGCCAGCAGAGCGAAGGCCCGCTCGGGTGACTGGCTGACGGACCCCTCCAGCTGCAGCGGATCGACCGGGCCCTCGCCGAGCCCCGGCGCCGAGATGTCCGTGTGATCTGTGCGTGCCGCCACACAGCCCCCGCGCCCCGTCCCACCCCATCCCGGGTCGCCGCGCCGGCCATGTACGCGTCCATGGGCTAGCAGGTCAGTGTGCGTGCACGAGCAGGCCTGCAGGCGTCTTCATACGCGCGTGCATACACGGCAGTGTAGAGAGAGAGAGAGAGAGAGAGGGAGAGAGAGAGAGGGAGGCCATGCAAGCGCCAACACAGGCGCGTGGCATGCGCGCACCTAGGGTTCGTCCTTGGGCACCGGGAACACTGACTGCAGTGGACAGATGCTGGTGCTGGTGCTGCTGCTGCTGCTGCTGCTGCGGCTGCGGCTGCTGCGGCTGCTGCTCCAGCAGATAGGCACCCAAGTGGTAGCGCAGCAGCAGCACCGGGATGCCGTCACAGCGCTCCAAGCTCAGAGTGTTGCGCTGGGCCTGGAGCTCGGCCAGGACGGTGTTCACAGGGCGCATGAGCATCCGACAGCGGGCCACCGCCGTTTGAAGCTTCTGCCAGTCCTCCTGGGCCTGGGCCTGCAGGTAGTTCAGGGCCGCGCTGTCGACAAAGTCCAGCAGCGAGCGGGGCCCGGTTTCGAAGTGCCGGCGAAAGTCCCGGCGAAAGGCGGGGTCCGCCCCGAAAGTCAAGCCCTCGGGGCCGCTCTGCCGGGCGAGCAGGTACTGCTGGCACTCGGCTGGCAGAGGCTCGACATCGGGCACGGGCCCCGGGCCGCCGGCCGGCGGGAGATCGCGCCGGCGCCCATGCACCGGGCACGCGTGCGGCTCACACTGTGCAGGAGACCCGGAGCACGTGCAGCACAGGACCCCCGGGTCCGCCGGGGACCCTGGGCCCCGATCGTCTGCCTCGGCACCGGCGACCGTGGGCGAGGCCCCATGCCTATGTTGCGACGATTGCTGCTGCTGCTGCTGCTGCTGCTGCTGGTGGTGGTGGTGGTGGTGCTGCTGCTGCTGCTGCATGGAATTCGACAGCACGCGCGAGCCACGCGGCCGTTGGTCCCAGTCGCGCAGGGTCCGGTTGTAGGCCAGCCCGGCGCGCAGGTCCCCCTCCACCTGGCGCTGGGCCAGGGCGTCGGTGGCGGCGCTGACTTCCTCCACACAACGGCCATACGCGAAGGCCAACGCGTCGATGGACAGCCCGGCCGGATCGTCGGTCAGAGTGGCCACCAGGTCCTCCGGCCGGTGACCCGGGCGCATGCCCCGGGGGCCGGCACCCTGGATCGCGGCCTCCAGACGAGCGTCCAACTGCTCGACCACCACGGCGGCCTCGCGTATCCGCTTGTGCGTGTCCTCCAGCGCCCGGGCCACGGTCGCCACGCCGGGCGACTCGAACAGCATGCGCACATGCCCGATCTCGATGTCCGCCTCGCGGACTTCCCGCTGGGCGGCCGTCGTCACCGCCTGGCAGTAGGTGAGGCTCTCGCGCGATTCGGCAAACAGGGCCGTCAGCTGCTCGACCCCGAGGGCCGACGCCGGGAAGGAGGCCATCGTCGACGTGGGCAGGCTCGGCTCGCGCGGGACAATGCCGGGCACGGGGCTCGGCCCGCCCAGGGCAGGGCTGTGTGCCCGGACCGGCATGTGCAGGGATTCCGTGCGCGGTCGGCCGGCCAGCGGCGGCGGCGAAGCATGGGCCGTGGTCAGGCCGGCGGCCACATGCCGAGATTCCAGGATGGGCTGCAGCCCGGGCCCCGGCCGGGAAAGGCCGTCCGGGCCCCGGACCCGGGGATCGATGCCCGGGGCGGTCGCCGCCGGTGGCAGGGGAGCCGTGTTGGCTCGCGGCCGGGGCCCACCGTGCGGAGACACGGCCGCCGATGGCCGGCCATCCGCCGGGGCAGCCTGCGGGGGGAGGGCGCGTTCCGGCGAGGGGCTGGCCGAATCCGTCACATCCGGGAAGGCGAGCCGGTCGAAGTGCGACAGGTGGACCACTGGCCGGGGATGGCGAGGACAGTGTCATGTTGCACGGCAAGGTGGACGGGAGGAGGGGGGGGGGGAGGGTCAGGGCGGATCCGTGGCGCTGGCAGCCGGCGGCGAGAGGGGGCAAGGCCGGTCGACGCACCGTCGTCATCAAGGTCCCGCTGGGAGAGGCCTCCCGGGGGGGTGAGATCCTCGATCGAGGAGGAAGCCGACGAGAGCGACAGATTCTCGGGGCCAGCCGGCAAGGCGCTGAGGGGGGGGCCTGCAGTGGTGTGGGGCCGGGCGGTGGGTGCAGCTGATGGGGCCCCGCGGCGCATGTTCCACCGTCCAGACGGAGGAGGGGGAGGGAGAGGGGGAGGGAGGGGCGCGGGAGAGATGGGAAAAGGGAAGAAGAGCGAGAGGGCAAGGGCAGAGGAGCGAATGGGGGAGGAAATCCAGGCAGAGGAAGTGATGCTGCCCGGCCCGCAGGAGGCCCGATGGGGAGGCGGGCGGGCACAAAAAAAGGCAGATCTGCCCGCAGGCCGGATCTCGATCTCCCCCAGGGGTCTAGCTTCGCCCCCTCGCGCCCGTTGGCGCCTGTTCGCGCCCGTTCGCGCCCCCCAGCGGGACGGGGGGTCGTCGGCCGGGGGGGGGGGGGGGGACAGAGAACGCCCCGTCCAGTTGGCCGTGATGCAAGAGAGCGCCTGCTCGTTCGGGTCAGCGATCGGGCGAAGCACCGGGCCCCGGCCGACGCCGCTCGAAGAACGCCCAACCGCCGGGGAATGTGCGGGCGCGCCTGCACCTCGGCCGGGGGTTTGCAGGCGGATTTTGCCTTCCGAGCAAGATCGTCGACGACCCCCGCGCCCGCTCGGGCGCGCTGGCCCGGGAAACTGCCGATGCACCGGGGACATGCGCGGCGTCTGATGCGTCCCCCGCCCCTCCCTCCCCCCCGGGGGGAGGGGGATGAGGGCATTTTACGGGCCGCACCCAAACCCCGACACTCGCCGGAGATCGAAGGCGTTGTGGCGTCGCGCGGCGAAGGCCGTCGAAGAAACCTCAGTCACCGCCCCGGCCGCCGCGAGGGGGGGGGGGGGGGGGGAACACAGGGCGCTTTCATCAGCCCCCGCCCCCCCCCCGGGAGGGGGGGGAAGGCGAGGGAGCGCCCGGGGCCTGGGGGGCGGCGACCTGTATGGCTCGTCGGGGCTCGCGCATTCGTTGGCACTCTTCGCCGCACCCTCCAGACCGCCTGATGTGGCCCGTGTCACGCCGGGGCGATCTACGATCGGAGACGCCGGTGTCCAATTAATCACCGAGACACCGAAAGGGCGCACGCCGGCCGGGGAACCACGGCTGGCGGGGGCCCGGTCACCGAGGGGGGAGGCGGTAGCGGCGGCGAGGGGGGGCCCCTGCGCCACGGCGGATGGCCGGCCCTGAGGGGGCTCCCAGTGGCACTTGTTTTTTCCCCGTCCAGTGGTCCGGCAGGCGGGGGTGCCGGTGGTGCGGCCGGCGCACACCCCGATCGACCTCCGGGGTGTCTCTTTGGCGTGCCAAAGGGCCGACGGACCGCGCCCGGCCCGGGGCTCTAGGCAACAGACGCGCCGGCGATCGGCCGGACCGCCCCTCGGCAGATCACCGGCAATTGCCCCCCCCCCCCCCCTCAACCCTCCAGCCATCTACCTCTCTGCCAGGCGCAAAGAAAAGGACACCCCCGATGGGCGCGGCCTCTGGCTGGCAGTCAGCCCATTGTCCTTCTTCGCTCCCGTCCCCGCTCCCCTTTTCGCTTGCTCTGCTGCCCTCCCCCCCCCTCTGCCCCTCCCTCTCCCGCGCCTCTCCCGCCCTCCCCCCTCCCACCATGAAGGATATCAAAGGTACGATGCAGTCGCGCACCTGCTGCACTCGCGCCTGCTGTTTGCTGACCGCTTGTCCTTCTCCATCCCCCCCGACTCAGGGTACCTTTCGGCCATGGCTCCTGCCGCTGACGCACTACCCCGCCGCCACCGCCGCCGCCGCCGCCGCCTCCCCCATGCTGACACCCCGCCAGACTCATCGTCCTCTCCTTCTTCATGGCCCTCGGCCTGCTGCTGATTTTGCTGTCTTGTGCCCTGTTCAAGTACGTGTCTGCCCCCCCCCCCCTTGCCGCCCCGCTCTCCGTCGTCCTTTGCCTGCTGACCATCCTGCCCTCCCTCCCTCCCTCCCTCCCTCCCTCTCTCTCTCGCTCTCTTTTTCTCTCGCAGCAATTGGTGGCTCCTCTTCGTCAGTACGTCCTCCTTCACGGGCTGACAGTGGCTTTTTTTCCCCTCTGCTCCCCCTCTCGCTCTCCCCCTCTCCTTCAATGCACGCCCTGCTCACCCGCGCCCCCCCCCCCCTCCTCCCAGTGGCGTTCTACTTCCTGTCGCCCATCCCGACGATGTTCGCCAACAAGATCGACGAGCACCGGCAGAATGCCAGCTTCGGCCTCAGCGGCGGCGATACGTGCGTCGGCGTCTGCCCTGTGTCCCTCCTTCCTTTTCCTCACAACGCCCCTGCCCCCTCCCCCGCCTGCCCTCCTCCTTACTCTTCTCCCCCGCCCCCTATTCTCAGGTCTGGTGTCCGCGACGCCGGCAACTTCATGTCAGCCTTCCTGCTGGTCTCGGGCTTCAGCTTCCCGCTGGCTCTGCTACGTGGCGATGTGGTGCGCCCTCCCCCTCCATTGCCCCCCATCCCTCCCCCTGTGTCGAGCCATCTCCGCCTCACGCCCAACACTGTCCTCCTCCCGCCCCCCCTCCCCCCCCACCCCCACCCCCCTGGCCATGTGGGCCCGCTTTTGGCGCGCAGGTCGAAGGTGCCGCTGCCGGCATGGCCTGCGCCGGTGGCATCGTCTGCTTCCTGTCGCTGGCGGTCTACGCCAAGCGCTACTCGAACAACGACAGCGCGGGTGCTTTCTGAGATGTCCACCTGTGGCCTGCCTTTTCTCCCTCCCCCTTCCCCTCCCCCCCCCCTCCTTCGGGGCCTGATTAAGTGTACAAAAAAGAAAGAAGCAAATGCAGTTGTCTTTTATTCCCCACGTCTGCCGGCGGAACCATGCTTCCGTTTTCCCCCCCTCTCCCTCTGCCCATTTCCGGCTCCCCTCCCCCTTCATTCCGCTGGTCCTTTGGACACACACACACATCGGCTGGTTGGAAGGTTCCTGTCCATTGGCGACAGCAGGCCGATGGCCTCACTGCGTTGGGGTGTAATGCTGCGACCGGCGGGCGTTGATCACACAGGCGTGCGCCCCGCCAAGAGCGCCACTCCCGCTGAAAAAGACCTTGGCATCCACCGGCTGGGGGAAGACCGGCACCGGCCAGATGGACCCGCGTACGAAGCCGCCAGCCTGCTCGGTGGCGATCTGGCGCATGTCGTCGGTTGTTTGGGACCTAATAAGAGCCGCACCAAGGCACATGTCAGTTGCGGGTAAATTCCAGCACGCGGCAGGCATGGCCCAGGAGAGGGACGATAGCCGGGCAGCTGCCCGGCGAGACCCATGGACGAAGGACGCACTTTTCCTGGAGCCACAGCCCCTGAGTCCAGGCGAAGGGCTCCGCCGGAGGCCCGGGCTTGCCGTCCGGACCCGGAGGCGGTGGGACATTGATATTTTGAAGAGCGAGCAGCGAGAGAGCACGGTTGGCATCCGTGTAGTAACATCCCTCCATCGGGTCGAAGGGGACATTGGCCGCGGCGGCGGCGGCCTGATCGGCGGCGGCCTGCGACGCGGCGCGGCTCTTTGAAAGATCTATTCAGGAAGGGGACGAGGTCAGAGCACTGGACGAAGGGGGGGAGGGAAAGGCAGGGCAGGGCAGGGCAAGGCTGCGACGGGGCAAGGCAGGGCGCAACACGACACAGCACGACACAGCACAGCACAGCACAGCACAGCACAGCACAGCACAGCACAGCAGGGCAAAAGATGGACGTACTCTGGGCGTTGGCGCGCGCGCGGGCCTCCAGCTGGACTGCAAAAGCCAGGCCAAAGTGAGTGGGCGGAGGTGAGATTGAAGGCCGGTGGCCGACACAGGCAGGAGCAGGGGCGAAGGATGGCCACCAGGGGGACGGGCCGGCGAAAGGGAAATACAACACCAGGGCGAGAGAGGCAGGAGGAGGAGGAGGAGGAGGAGGAGGGGGAGGAAGATGCGCACTGGCCAACGCGCGAATGGCTTCGAAAGGGGTCCAGGTGGCGTCCCCCTCGCGAGCACGCCACTCACGCAAATTCGAGCCAGCCACATGGCGGGAGCGATTCCCCCGCCCGCCGAGCAGGCTCATGCTCTGAGAGGCGGAGACACTGCTCGAGGCCGATTCCGACCGGGGAAGGCCGGCCGCGGCGGGGTCCGCCGTGAAGGGATCCGGCAAAGCCCGGCGCCACTCGAACTGGGGGAGTGACAGGGCGGCCGCGACGCCGGCCTGTCGGGCCCGCCTCCGGCGCTCGGCGGCCGTGGCGGCGGCCGGGCCATCCTGCGCCTTGCCGCCCAGGGGCAGGCTACATCCGGGCGGGGGGGCCAGCGTGGCGCAGGCAAAGAGAAACAGCTGCTGGTCGACGTTCTGACGCTGGGCGAGGCGGATGACTGAGGAGAGTGGCGGACCGGCGGACCGGCGGACCGGCGGACCGCGGGCCAGACCCAGGGTTCAGGAGGCGGCGAGGATGATGCCGCAGGCATGAGGCGTCGGGTTAGGTGGGGATCCGGCGGGGCCCGGACAAACAGCCAGGGCGAAGGCCCCCAGGGCCGGCAAGGTTCGAAGGGAGGGAGCAAGAGCCACGCACAGATTTCCTCCACATTCTCCAGGTAATCGTCGTAGGCCCGGTCGCACTCGTCCGGCGAGATGACAGACGCGAACTCCGGCAGCGGGTCGAAAGACTCGCGGGTGCGGATGTGCGCGGCCAGGGTCTCCCGCGCCCAGAGGTCCCGCTCGATGCCCATCCACTCCCACCGAGGGGGCCGGAAGTCGTCGGCCCCGCGCAGGGACAGCCCGCAGTGGCACCGGGCCGGGGCGTTGGGCGCGGCGAAGGTGTGGTCGCGGCACCGCTCGCACACCACATGCCCACAGGGGGTCACCAGGAGGGCGGTCGACCGAAGGAGCGACGTGGCACACGCCTCGCACCGCCGGTGCTGCGGCAACACCGTCGACGGGGTGGGCAGGCTGTCGGTGGTGGGCGCCACCGCTGCCTCCAGCCCGGACTGCGTGGCCGGCGAGGGGGGCGGCGTGAGTCCCGACCCGCCGACCGGCGCAGCGTTGGACTGCAGCATCCTCGATGGCAGGAAGTGGGTAGGAGGGGGGGGGAGGGGTCGAAGGAGAAAGGGGCTGAGCGCGGACGTGCGGGCAAGGCAAGAGGGAGGGAGGGAGGGAGAGAGAGAGAGGGAGAAGGCGGGGAGGGGGCGGGAGACGAGGGAAAGCTGGGCAGGGCTGCGGCCGACCGGGCACCATGGGCGCCCTTGGGCGGGGCCGACATGCGCGGCGCAGCTTCACATGTCCCCGCCCGCCCGCCGGCTCCCCCCCCCCCCCCCCCCCCCCCCCCCCCCCCCCCCCCCCCCCCCCCCCCCCCCCGCCCCAGACCCCAGGCCCCCAGGCAAGCCAGTTGCACGATTGCCCCCCGCCCCCCCCCCCCCCCCCCCGTTAGGCGACTCCCGTCGCTCCGTGCCTGCGCGCCCAGGTCCCGGACCAAATCCCGGGCTACGCGCGCGCGCGCGCGGCGCCGCCGACAATCCGGGCCTCGAAGATGGTGGCGAGCGGGAAAGGCAGGCGCGAGGGGCCGCAGATGACCACGAACGCGGCGGGGGGGGCAAAAAGAAAGGGGGCATGCGCTCCCGCACGGGATCGAACCGCGGACCTTGGGATTAACAGTCCCACGCTCTACCTACTGAGCCACAGGAGCTACATGCTGACCACGGCCTGCCGCGGCACTTTCAACCCCCCCGCCTTCTTCGCCGAGACCGCGGCCCCAGCAGGAGTGAGTCGCTTGTCTCGTTCCCCCCCGCCGGCTGGCCGGCGTCCTGGACCGAGACCCGGCCCCACCGTGCGAGCACAACTGCCGAGCCTACGCCACGGAGACAGGTATATTGCCGGCCCTCAGCCGGCGGGCGCCCCGGGGCGAAGGCGGACGCTCAGGAGCACCTCCCCCGGGAGCCGGGCCGCCTGGCGGGCATACGCATCCTCCAGCTGGCGGGCCAGGCCGGCCGCCCGGTCCCGGCGCCCGGGGTCCACGACGCCGGGCAGGCCAGCACGCCAGAGGGCCGCCGCCGGGCCCAGGTCCGGCACCCAGCACTGGTCGAGGGTCAGTTCGCCGGGCGAGGCCGCCGGGCCCGGGTCCCGGACACCGGCAGCCCAGACCCCGGGCCGGGCGCTGGCAAGGACAGTGGCCCCGAGGCCCGGGCCGGGCTGACACCGGGAGCAGCGGACGCGTGCCCAGCCCGGCGCCCGGCCCGGCGTGGCCACTCTCACTGCCGGGCCGGCCGGGCCGGCGGCGCAAAGGATGCTAACCAGCAGCGGCCCCAGGCGCACGTCGGCCTCGTCTGGCTCGACCGGCGCGCGGTCCGCCGGCTGCAGGGCGATCTCCAGCCCGGAAAGGGGCCCCCCCTGGGCGCCGGGCCCGGCAGTGATGCCGGCCGGCGAGGGGCCTCGCAGCCAGGGCGCCCCGGCGGCCGTGGCGAAGACCCGCGCAAACCACCCGGCCCCAGGGTCCAGAGGCACCCGGAGGCTGACGCTGCCGCGATAAATATTACGCACCAGCCCATCGAACCCGAAGACGGGCATGGCCCCGAGGCCGCCGGCCGACGGGGCCGCCAGCATGTCCTCCCAGGGCCGCCGGCCGGAGCCCGGGTCGGGGCGGTCATGCGCCAGGCGACCGGACCCGGCACATTGGCCGCAGCGGGCCACCACCGTGACGGACCGAGGCTCGGCCCGGCTGGCCGACACGCCACAAAGGATGGGCCCGTCGGCCGGGCCCGGGGGCCCCGGCGTGCCGGACAGCCCGGCCGCCAAGAGCACGGCCCCGGCCAGCGAGTCCGCCGGGCCAGGGCCACCGGAGTGCCCCGCCTGCAGCCACGCGTCATATGCAGCGCCGGCCGCCGCCGTGGCGAAAGACCCGGCCAGGCGGCTGACATGGCGCCGGAGTTGCCGCTCGGTGCCCGGCTGCCCGCGGTACCACCCCCGGAGGAGGCCCTCATCCAGCAGGAGCATGCCGTCGAAGTGCCGGGCCTGGCGTCCGGCACTCGTGGAGTATGCGGCGCCGGCCTGGCCCGGCTCGGCCGGCCCCAGGGTGTGCCCGGTGCGTGGGACCTCCGGCACCAGGCAGCCGGCGGCCATGCGGCGCTGGCGCTCGGCCCCCCGAGGCCCCCCGGGCCCGGGCCCTCGCGCGGCCAGACCCTGCAGCGACCCCAGGGCCGCGCGCAGCAGGTCGTCCCACTCGCGCCGGGTCCCCGGGAAGTGGGGATTGTCCGCGAAGAAGCCCATGTCCTCCAACGGCCAGAAGTGGTCCAGCAGCCAATGCCCCAGGCGCCCGGTCAGCATGAACCCCATGCCGGCAAAGTGGCTCGTGCGCAGGACCTGCCCCGGGTCGGCCGCCAGCCCCGGGTAGCTCCGGTCATTCCAGGCGCTGACGCAGAAGAGCTCCCCGGCTGGCGGGGCGGCCGGGTCGTCGGCGTGGCCGGCCTCGGCCGCCGGGGCCGGCGGCTGGCTTGCCAGCAGGGAGGTGCAATTTAGCACCCCTGGGTGCGAGGGCCCGGCGTGGGCGAAGGCCGCGCAGGGGCCCCCTCGCGCGCATCGCCCATCCGCCAGCAGGGCCCCCCGGCCGAGGGCAAAGTAATCCACGAAATCCACCCCCAGCACCAGGTCATCCTCCAGGAAGATGGCCGTCCGATCGGGAGCATCTTCCCCCGCAGGCAGGCCCCCCGGCACCGGGAGGTAGCGAGCTCGGCTGGCATGCGCGAAAGCGTCCGCCACCAGGAAGCGATAGACGTATGCCAGGCGCCATGACGCCACCGGGCCACTGGACGCGGCCCAGGGTTGGCCCTCTGGCGGCGGGACCGTGATGATGCGCGGGCGCATGTCTGGCAGGGCGGCGGCCAGGCGCCGCACCGCGTCGGTGGGCTGGCCGTCCACGTACACCCGCAGCCGCGGCCGGCTGGGCCCGTCGGCCGGGCAAAGGACGCTCCGCTGGAGGGCCCGCCGGAGCCCGGCCGTCAGGGACGCCAAATCCCGGCGCCCGGTGGTCAAGATCGCCACATCGAAGTCGCACAGGTCCTCGCCCGGTGGCACGGCCATGGGCAACTCCCCGGGGGTTGCCTCGACGGGCGTGTGGCCCGGAGTGGCGACCGCTGCCTCGCGCTGCGGCAGCCGCGGCCCGTCCCAGACCGGTCGCAGGAGGTACAGCAGCAGAGCCACCACGAGCCCCGCCAGCAGGACCACGCGCAGGCCGCATACCGTCCACCGGCGCAGAACCCGGCGCATGGCACGCAGCCGCGGCCGCGGCATGCTTGCCCGAAGTGCCCTCTCCCGCCCGGCCGCACCCCCGTCACAGCAGGGCCAGCCAGAAGGGAGGGAAGGAAATCCGCCAGCGGACACGCCCAAATGCGCGAAGCAGCGGAGGGAGAGCGAGTGCACAAGGGAGCTTGAGGAGCAAGATGCAACGAGTGAGTGGGGGGGGGGGGAGAGAGAGAATTATTTGTCTATTGTGGGCAAGGGACGAGCGAGGAGCGAGGGACCGGGGCGGGCGCCGAAGTACCACCAGCGGTGAGGCAATCTGTCCGGCTGGCCTTCGCCCCGGCCCCGGCCCCCGGGCCGCCGGGGGAGCCCTTTCTCGATGGGAAGGGGGGGGGGGGAGCGCCGACGGACGTCGCGCGGGCTTAACCCTCAACACTTCGAGGGGCATGGACACGTGACGTGCGGCACGGGGTACCCGGCCTAGGCGTCGTCCTCCGAGTCATCGGTGCCAGACCCGCTGCCGGAGTCGGAGGAGCCGCTACCATCGTCCGCGCTCGAGGAGGAGGAGGAGTCATCGTCGTCGGTGTCGTCCTCGACCACGCGCATGGCCGACATGTTCTGGATGCCCAGCTCTTGCAGGGTCAGCCCGAGGAAGTTGGCCGCCAGGTCGGCATCCGCCAGCAGCTGGTCCAGGCCCAGGTCGGCGGTGCTCTCCTCCGGCAGCAGGGGCCGGGTGAACTTCTCGCGCGTGAGCGGGAGGAACAGGGCGAAAGAGGACTGCATGTGGAATTCCGGCTTGCTGTGGGTGTCGACCACGGCGAAGAGGTGCTGCATGTGTGTGTGTGTGTGTGGGCGTGTGTGTGTGGGCGTGTGGGCGTGTGGGCGTGTGTGGGCGTGTGCATGCGGGAGGGAGCGGGGTCAGTGGGAAGGAGGGGCATACGAGCGGAAGGAGAGACATAGGAGCGCGCACCGCAAGCCGGTGCTCGGTGGGGTTGAAGTAAAAGACCGAGCGCTGTGGAGTGGACGAGGAGATGGCGATGGCAATGGCCCCGGGGGCACCCTTCTCCAAGAGAGGGGTGCGCTGGAGGAGCTCCTCCGAGAAGGAGAGGTGGCGGATGCGGTGCTGCGTGCACGAGGCGAGGGGATGCGTCAGGAAAAAAAGACCCGACAGCAGAGAGCAGCAGGCAAGAAGAGAGATAGGGAGAAAGAGGGAGAGGAAGAAAGATATGCCCGCGATGTGTGTGCGCGTGTGTGTGTGTGTGTGTGTGTGTGTGTGTACCATATCCCGACGGTTCTGGCGGGCCTGCTGGCGCTCGAGACGGGCGGCCGCCTCGCGTGCGGCCCGGGCCTCCTCCTGCTCGATGAGCTCGCGCTGCTGGCGCTGAGCCGCCTCTTCCTCCTCGCGGCGACGCCGATCGATCTCGATCGATTCCAAATACTCCCGCCGCTGCTGCTGGATGATATCGGCATTGGTGACGCGCGCGCGGCGCTGCGCGGCGCTGTGTGACCGCCATGGCCGAAGGGGCGCCCCGCCGCGAGGTCAGTGTGTGTCTTGCTGGGGGGGGGGGGGGGGGGGAGGCGCGGGGGCAAGAGCCTCCGGGCCGGCACGCGGGGAGAGGGAGACCATGATCAGGGGGGGAGGGGGGGGGAAAGGCGGAAAGACAAAACGTACCGGGTAGACCGGATCTGCGATAGCTCCGGGCCGAAGGTGGTCAACACGTCACGCAAGCGCTGCAGGACAAAGCGCCGCATGGCCGGACCGCGGCCGTCACCAGTGGTGTCGGTGGCGGCCGAGGCGTCCGCTGTCCCGGGCGTGGCCGCCGCCGCCGCCGCCGACTGGAAGAAGGACGAGGGGAACCCATCGATGCGAGCCAAGACCGTGGTCTCGCCACGGGCCATCTTCAGCACCGCCAGGAAGGGATATGCCAGGACATTGCTGGACACGGCCACATGGTAGGCGTCCTTCTCCAGGACCGTGCCGCCCCAAAGGAGGAAGGGGGGCTTGTCATCGGCCCCGGCCATATCGGACGCCTGGTCGGCTTCCTCATCGGCATCGAGCCCGAGCCCGGCGAAGGACGGCAGCGGCCGACGCATGAGGTCCAGGAAATCCGCCGACGCCAGGACGTCGCGGCAAAAGATCGGCGTCAGTGGCTGGTCCGGGCTGTGGAGGTAGACCACCAGGAAGGAGGCATCCATCTCCGAGCGGTCGAGGGCCTACGGCCGGCGGCGAGACCGAGGGAGAGAAGGGCGGACAGCGGCAGAGGGCAGAGGGGGGCCTGGTCAGTGGGAATCAGGGAACAGGAGAGACCTGGCAGGCGAGATGAATAGACAGGGTAGAAGACAGAGCCAGAGGATGGCGCACCTCGACAAAGGACCCTTCGAAGAAATTCAGCTGGTTGGCGGATTCCGGGTTGGACACATAGTTCTCGGAGAAGTCCAGGGAAAAGCGCCGGGCAACCTGAGTAGGGGTCTGACGGGAGGTGTCCGGCTCGCGGAGGGCTGTGTGGCGGACACGTGCGGGTTTGCGCGGGGAAGGGCGGGGGGGGGGGGGGGGGGGGGGGGGGGAGGGAGGGAAGGAGAGAGGGGCACAGACGGAAACCGGGAATAGAGGCACATGTCAGTGGGGCCACGGACTCGCATGCGCGCGCGCCCGTGCGCGAGAACACAGGACCGCAGGCAGGGGCAAAAGCGACTTGGCGCACACGAGGGGGAGATGATGCTCATGGCCACGAAGAGCGGCGCGCGCAGGCTGAACACCAGCACACTCCAGGCCACATTGAGAACCAGGCGGATGGGCGTGTACGAGAGCGGCCGGGGGAGGTTGTTCAAGAAGGGGGGCGTCTGTGCCAGGGAGTAATACACAAAGGAGAGGATGTTGAGCAGGGAGCGCCGCGGGCCCGGGCTGCCAGACCCGGAGGAGGACGCCCGAATGTGGCTGCCCCCGGTGCCGGGCCGGGCTGTGGCCTCCAGGACTGCCCGGTGTGCGGCATGGGCCTGGGCAATCCGACGCCGGGCGCTGGCCTCCACGTCGGAGGTGGAATCCGAGTCGGAGTCCGAGTCGGAGTCCAGCAGGTGGCCATCCTCCTGGTCGCTGGAGGAAGATGCGTCCCCGTCGGAGGACGAGTCGACGTAGTAGGCTGCAGGGTGCGTGGCGGACATTTGGCTCTGCAGGCTGGCCAGGTCGGCCACCGGGCGCTGCTGAGTTAGGTGCTCCATGGCTGCCTGGGTCGAAGTGGCATCAGGGCAGGGCAGGTGGCAGGGGGCGGGGGGGGCGGGGGGGCGGGGGGGGGGGCGCGCGAAGTTAGCCATGGGCAGGCAGGTGAAAAGGGGGCGGCGGCGAGGAGCAGGTACCTCGAGATCCCAGTCATTCTGGATCAACACCGACATGCATGTCTCAAAGTCCGGCTCGCTGGCGATCGCCTTCAGGTGGCGGGGGGGCAGAGTGTCAGTGCGTGAGCCCGGCGCGAAAGGAGAAACGTGGCGAGGGGAGGCGAGGCGGACCTGCAGCGAGAGGACGAGATTAAGCTGGTCCTCGCTCAGGTAGTCCATGGCGGGGAGAGAGAGAGAGAGAAAGAGGGAGAGAGAGAGAGAGAAAGAGGGAGAGAGAGAGAGAGAGAAAGAGGGAGAGAGAGAGAGAGAGAGAGAGAGCAGGGAGTGGGGAAACGGGGCGGGGTGGAGGGAGTGAGGCGGCGGCGCGAAAACCGGACGGATGCGGAGAAAAAGTCTGTCTACATGCCCGACTGGCACCGAGCACCGGAGTGGGTGGCCCTTGAGAGGGGGGTACCCTGGGGCAAGAACAGACGGAGGGGGGGGGGGGGACCTCTCCCGCGCCAGGTAGGGCCGCGGTCGTGGTTGTCATCGTTCCCTCCCGATTCTAGGCCGCACACACACACACACACACAATGAACAGCTGGGAACTTGGGGCTGGACCGGGACCCGCCCCGGTCCGCTGGGAGGGAACATCCGCCGGGAATTGTATCTTGTCTTTTTGAAAAATCTGTCCACGTAATTTGACGCGATGAACCTCCTCCGGAAACGGGCGGGGAGGCAGTGCGTCCTATGTGCCGTGGCCCCCACCCCCTGGGTGTTGCGCACCTGCGAACAGGCTGATCGGCCGACACGCTCGGCCCCCCGCCCCCCCGGGAGGGGGATCGTAACCCCGCCGTGGCGCGCCTGCCGTTTAGGGACGGATGGAGGCCGCGTTTTCCATCCTTAGACCGGGGGGGGGGGGGGCGGATCAACATACGGCGGAGTCTTCCCCCCTCCGTCGTCGCCCTGCAAAAGTCTCTCCGCAGACTCCCCTCTCCACGTCCGACGGACGTGTTTTTCTCGGCGACAAAAAGCAGGGCACATCCCCCCGATCAGAAGCCCGTTTCGCCCCCGCGCCCGGAAAGGGGGCAAAAGTTCTCCCGATCCGGGAATTGAACCCGGGCCTCCCGCGTGACAGGCGGGGATTCTCACCACTATACTAATCGGGATTCCGATGGGAACTGCCCACTGACACGGCACTCTTAAACATTCTTCCTTTCTTGTGTTTGCCGTGCTCCATGGATACTGCCAACGGATGTGGCCCGCTCCTTGGCCCCCGCCCACCAACTAGAGTGCCGCCGGCGTCCGCACCCGGCACGACCGAAGCAGCAGCGGGGGAGAGTGGCTGCCGTTGTCGCTGCTGCTGTTGCTGTTGCTGTTGCTGTTGCCTTTGACTCGGCGCGGCCCCGGCCACAGCAATGGGAGCCCCGCACGACCCCGAAAGGTCGGTGCACCGAGGGCAGGGCGTGCTTGCAGGGCGGGG